AACACCTCAGACGGTTTCTCCTTGGGCCCAGGCCTTGGAAAGTGCACAGACTGCCCCGGGAGAAGTCTCCTGCCTGCCTCCCAGTCCCCGGGGCCCAGCAACTCCGCGTGTACCAGGCGTGGACGCTGCAGGGGACAGACAAGCTGACAGAACCGCCCACCCGCCTGTGAGCACCTTGGGCCCACGACCACAGACAGCCCACTTCCTCCTCTGTGGCAGCAGCCACAAACGGCACAGCTGACACGGCTCCTCCCCCGCACTCATCCCCCCTCCCCCTCAATGCCGAGCCCGGTCAGCCTGGGGGCCTGGCCCAGGTGGGATAGCTGGTAAATGTCCGGGCAAAGCTCACCTCCCAGGGTGGCGCTGTCCCCTGGAGTGCCTGTGGTCACGGTTACACCTCAAACCTCACCCTCAGTGCCAGATGCAAGCTGAGTTGTGACCCTGACCAAGGACCCCCCGCCCCTTCCTGACCCAGAATGGGCACAGTGTGGTATGTGTGGGCAGGCGTCTGAGTGCACGGATGACTGGGTGAGCGGGTGAGCGTCTGTGTGCGTGTTTGAGCGTGCCTGCGAGTGAGTGCATGTGAACACCTGTGTACGTGTGTGCGCATGTGTGGTGCGTGTGCAGGCACTCGTGGGTTTGTGGGTATGGGGGCAGAGTGCAGCTCAGCTTCTGTATCCCTGTGTGTGTTTATATGCCTATGTCGGCAAGGTAGGTGACCTTTGAGAGCAGAAAGTAGGCTGGCTTCAAGGTTAATTAATTGGACTTTTAGGAAATGAGGCTCAGTGGTGGGCAGGAATGGACCCCTGACCTCACAGAGCAGAGTTCCCCAGCTAACCAAGGACACATCACTCCCTGCCCACAAAGTTTGGGGAGAGACAGAATAAACAGAAAACCCAGCATAGACCCTGCCCTTGTTCAGCCCCCACTCCCACTCCAAGAGCCAGGGCCCTAATGTCCTGCCCTCCCTCCAAGGGGGACCCCAGCCCCCACCATCTCTTCACCCTCAAGATCTGTAGGTGCCTGAGAACCAGGAAGGGTGGGACTGAGGGGTTGATCTGGAAGGACTTTTGGTGGAAAGAACATCTTTGCCACCCTCAGCAGCCCCCAGTGCCCCCCAGGATCCTGTTCAGTGGACTCTGGACACCCAAAGGGTAACTTTCACTTCTTACTGTCATGCAGGTGGAAGGAGGCAAGTGTGACCTGAAGGAGGGAACTTTGAGCTTTATAAGGCACCTGAGAGAGTACAGCCTCCCAGCACACCCTGAAACTGGGGATTTCAGGTCTCTCCTCTGGCTCCAGGAAGGCCACGGAAACAGGAGGAACTGGGGATGTGGAAGAGAGTTTGGTTGTGCCAGGAGCTGGGAGACCTTGTGTCCAACCCCTAGAAGGCCCAGGGCAAACGTCAGTTTCCCTGTGTGATGATAAGAACAGCCTGAGGCAGAGAAAGGGGCCATGGAAAAGCTGATATCCACTCTCACTCTGGCTCAAACACCACCTCCTCTCTGACTGACCAGCACAGCGTCACCACTCTTGGCACCCAACAACCAGTGGGCCCCAGGTCTCTGAGCTCCAAGGCCAAAGCCTTCCCTGGGCCAGAAACCACTTTCAGGCAGGGAGCTTTCACGGGGAGAGCAAATGGCTACCCTCCCTGGGCACCCACACCCCACACCCCACACCCAGACTAAGGACTCTGTATGCACCCCCCCCCCAACCCCATACCGACTCCAGGCCCAGGGCAGAAGGGGAGAAGCCCAAAGCGGAAGGCCATCCCTGTCCATCTGTCCACCTGCTTAAAAGGATCCAGTCTTACCTGAGGCTCCCAGATCCCCTTGGCCTCTAGTTCTGGCTGCTGCTGCCACCACTGCCACACAACCACCACCAGAAACAGGCCTGTGCCCTCACCTGGGCCAGTTCCCAGCAGACCTGCAAGAACAAGAGAAAACAGCTGAGCTGATAGGTGCCACCAAACAGGCTCTCCCCATCTGTCAGCCCCGGCATGGCCGACACAGGCCTGGGTCAGCCTCATCTGGTTCTGAGACCTTGGCCTCTTTGGGCCTGGCGGTCTCTTCTGTGAAGTGGGGCATTGGGGCCATCTTTTCCAGGGCACCAGCTATGTGTCTACTCCATGCTAGGGGTCAGAAGACTGTGTCTTAGCCCTTGGAGCATTTCCAGGTTACAGACACAGCAAAAAAGCTGTCCCCAATCCTCTCGTCTTCAAGAGCCTGCCCTGTGGGCTTGGAGGCCTAAGGTGCAATCAGGGACCACTGCTTTGTGGCCTGGGGCAATTCCTCTGAGCCTCAGTTTGTCTCATCTCTGAAGTGGGGAGATGTCTCAAGTGGTTGCAAGGTTCCAATGATGTGGTATGCCGGCTGCTGTACTGAACTCACTGGAGTGCCAAACGAACAATGACACTTTCATTTTTTGTTTTGTACCTTCTAGTTCAGATGATTCTCTCATTACCGTTGTGCCCATTATACAGCTTTAAAAACAGAGGCCCAGAGAGATCCTAGAAGGAAGGAACAGCAAAGGCAGCAGGATACCCTAGGTCTCCTGGCTGAAAGGCCTAAGCACTTTCTCTGCAGGCAAAGCCAGGTCTCCACAAAAGATTCTCCTTCCCAGATGCAAGCCCCTCCTCCCACTGAAGACCCCCATCACCACTCCCTCCGGGCCGAGGCATCCTCGAGCTTTATCTTTTTGTCTGCACTTTATTTCTAATTTTAAACTCCAATTAGCTGTGCCAGTTAAACGGTGTCAGTGCCCTGCGGTCACAGCTCCGAATCACCTCCACCAGCACCACTGCAACTGCTGAGACTGGTGGAGGGTATCATCTGGGCTGGCCTCAACAGGGCTGGATGCAGGTAGGGTCTCTGTCAGCCATCTTCCCTCCAAGCGGATTGGAGCGGGCAAGAGCTACATCACAGGCAGGAAGTTGGGTTGGGGCTACCTTGGCTTTTAGCAGCTCCAGCTCCCAGGAGAATGGGGACTATACAGTTCGGAGGGGCTTCCCTGGCGGCTCAGTTGTAAAGAATCGACCTACTAATGCAGGAGACACAGGTTCGATCTCTGGGTGGGGGAAGATCTTCTGGAGAAGGAAATGGCAGCCCACTCCAGTATTCTTGCTTGGGAAATCACATGGACAGAGGAGACTGGCAGGCTACAGTTTATGGGGTCACAAGAGTCAGACATGACTTAGTGACTAAACAACAATGATGATGATGACGACCACAACAACGTTTGAGGGGAGGAGAGTGTTCACCAAACAAGACTTAGCATCTGCTGAGCTTTCACTATGGACCAAGGCTAAAGGACCTCTGGTCCTCACAACTTTGTCCACTCTGCAGATAAGGAAACCGCCTTAAGAGAGGCCTAGTTCCTGGCTCTTGTTCTTAAAAGGCATGGTATTTGAGCTTAAATCTTTCTTGGGTCAAGCCCAAGGTCTTGCTCACAACACTGTGACCTGGGGTGTCCGTGAACTTGAGAGTGGAGGAAGGTGAGAGATGGAGGGTTTTCCCCATCTTCCCAGGAGTCAGCGCTGGGCTTGAGTGTGTCTCATGCACATCCACAACCTCATGACCTCCCACATGTACATACACACGTGCACACACACACACAAGGGCTCTTACCTTCCCTCAGAGCACTGCCACCTCAGGGCACAGGCAACACACACCTTGTTGCACCTCCTTCTGCAACTGACACCCACGCCCAAGCACTCTCGGTTCCCCACAATCACAGTGACTCCCCAAGCACACATCCGCACAATTTCATATAGTCACAGTGTGAGTCTCCCACCAGTCATTCGCTTAGCCTCGCCCCCAGCCAAACTCCTGTCATACGCCAGATCCCTCATACCACCCTACAGTCAAGTACAACTGTCCAAACACCTCCACATCTCACACACACACACACACAAGCACAACTGCCCTTTATTGGCTTGTCCACCACACCCCAGCTCAGTCCACAGCAGGAACAAGGAAACCCAAGGGACCAGTCACCTCTCTCAGTGACCAGGTCAGCCTGGTCACAGTGGCTCAGCACAGAGAAGAAGAGCATATAAGTGTGCGTGCACACACCCCCCCACACCCATGAGCCTGGGGGGCTGACACAACAATGAAGGCTGTATGTATTCATGGTTAGTGGGTCACCATGACATACCCAGTGTGCAACACAGGACCCTCCAGGCACATGGGCACACATCCCAACACATAGAGGGGAGTCTGGTGACAAAACACCTAGTCCATACATAGCTGCAAAGAGCACAAAGAGCTTCAGGACCCCCAAACAGACATACACACATACACACAGGCAAGTCACACATGTTTAAAAGGACACACAGGAGCAAGTCCCAGACCTGGGGAAAAAGAACATACAAGGAGACACAGATATACAACATACCTACGTGACAGGTACAGGCAACTGAGCACAAGAAGACAAGGTCCGGGCGCATTGCGTAGGGGCCAGAAGGGAGAGGAGTGTCCCTCTACTCACTCCAAATCCTTCTCACCGCTTCAGGTGGGGGCTCAGTGGGCTCTGCCCTCCCTGACACGGGAGCTGGGGAAGTGGGGCAATTCTGTCTCTTGCCTCTTCACCTCTCCTCTCCTCCACCCCTTCCCCTCTCCGGGCTGGGCCCCTACAGGGGAAGCATCTGGATTGGGAAGGGACCACCGGAGGAGGGGGCGCAGGGGTAGGACGGAAGAGGGGGGATGGTGGAGTCTGGAGCCACGCCCAGCCCGGAGACAGATGGGGAGAAGGACACAGAGAGTGAAAGAAGAGAGCAAGCGACGAGGAGGCGCCGCGGCGGCTGGGCCGGACAGGGTTCCAGGCGCGGGAGGCGAGGCCCAGTGGATAGCCTGGTCTCAGCCCCGTGGTAGAAAAGAAGAGGCGGCAGGGGGCGGCGAGCGTGGGCCGGGGGCGCAGCTCCCAGAGGACAGGATCTAGGGGGTGGCGGGAGGCAGGGTTGGATGGGGTGATGGGGAACCAGGAGGGCGAGGGGCAGACAGATGGGGACCAGGGAGAGGCGGACGGGGAACACTAAGAGAGCGGGGACGGATGGACTGACAGAGAGCTCAAGAAATTTGGAACGGACGAGCGGACCCTCAGAGGCGCTGGGGACACTTAGGGTAGAGAGGGGCCGAGAGCAGACGGATGAGAGCCCCTCGGCCCGCACCACTGGACAAAGGGCCAGACGGAAGGGGTTACGGAGGCACCGGTGGGACTTTCGTCGGCCGGAGCTCAGTTTCTTAGTTTCGGAAACGAGAACCGGAGCGGGGAGGGGAAGGGAGGGACGGCGCGCCCTCGGGGCAGCCCGATCCTACAGCCCGATCCTACGGCGGCCCGCACTCACCTCCGGGCGCAGGGCCAGGCGCCAGGGGTCGCGGTGGCTGGGGTCCAGCTCTCGGCGCCGCTCGCGGGAGTGCTCCCGGAGAGGGGTCGGTGCGCGCCAGACCCAGACGGGCCCGGCGGCCGGTGAGTTACCACCCGGGCCTCGGCGCGGCGGGCGAACGCCGGGGGTCGCTCAAGAGATCCCAGGTCCGCCGCCTCCCGCTCCCGCGCAGCGGCACACGGAAGTGCAAGGGGGCGGGGCGGTGCGACCTCACCCAGGTGCCGGCCCCAGTCTCGGCCCGCCCCCGCCCTGGGCCCGCCCCCACGTAGGCCCGCCCCCTCCGAGGCCCCGCCTCCGCCGGCCGCCCCCGGGGGTCCAGCCGCTCGGCTTCCCCAGGCCCGCCACTCAGTGTCTGGGCCTCTCCGCTGGCTCGAGCACCCCTCACCCACTTAGGACACGAACGGGCCCTCAGAAGGGGCCTCACTTTACTGAGGGCGCGGAGGCCCGGGGGGCGCTTTCCCCACCCTACGCCCCGCACACGGAGCCGGGGAGGCGACAGCGGGGGTTCCCCAGTTCCCAGCGCTGGCGCCCGGGACTCCCTGCCCGCCAGCTGGCCCGCCTCGCCAGGCCTTCGCTCTTTCTCTTCCTGTTGGCTGGAGTGCGGACGCGGCCGGGCTCGGTGCCCGCCGCCAGGCCAGCTAGTCCCGGCTCTGTGCCCGGAGACGAATGGGAAAACTCCAGGGCCGGAGGCTCTAGTCGGTCCACCGGTGCTGGTCAAACGATTCTGAGAGCAGCTCCTACCCTGATTCATGAGTATTCCTCCCCCCTGCCCCTGCTTTTCAGAGTTCCCCCATCACCTCTGGGAGGCTCCTGAGGTTCCGTTCTAGACTTAGAACTTGATTATCTGGCATAACTCATTCATTCATTCATTGAGTATCCTCTGGGCCTCAAGTCTGGAGAGAAAGCCCCAGGGAATCCATTCCTTTGTCCCCAAATACCAGAAAACCATTCCATGACGATTCCATACTCCAAAGAAATGTCAGTTTCCAGAGGAAAAGAAGAGGGTTCCAGTTCCAGACCTATCCTCCTGGGGAACCACCTAGAGGTCATGTGGACAGTCTGGACAGCTCTTTCTAGCTGAGGCCTAAGGGATGAAAATGGGAGACAATCCCTGAGGCGGCCTGAGCTGATCAAGGGGCCCATGGCCAACACAGGCCATGGCCAGGACATTAGGCTTCTCAAGGAGCGAGTGCTGGCAGCTGTTAGAATGGAATGGGCTTTTGGAGGAAATGAATGGGACATAGTGGCTGATGAGAAGTGAAGGGCTGGATAGGGCCAGAAGAGCTGTCATGTTTCTCAGGTGGGAGGACCCTAGGTTGGGGAAGATGGGTGGGAAGAAGGGGCCAGACCTTCTGGGTTACAGGGCTGTGGGGATGGTGGGGGGAAGGGTTGTCTAATGACACCTCCAGGGATGCAGAGCCCTGGCCAAGATGTGAATCTGAAACTCTGTGTGTGTGTGTGGCAGGGGTGTGTCTGAGCTGGAAAGAAAACTACTATTGATACAATGATTTTTCCCACACATGGCAGGGTGGGGATGGGTGCTATCCTACATTCCAGAAAGAAGACCTAGTTGAAAACTGCTTAATGTCTAAGTTCCCAGCTCTGATGCCTGTCCCTTACCCACTAGGGTAGGCTCTGTCCACCAAGATGGACCCTTCAGGTCGCACTGGACCATCATTTAGGAAAGAAATCTAATGCCTTACTGCTTACAACCAATTTTTTGTATACACTGTTCCCTGGGCCTGAATGTCATTTCCCACTCACTCCCAAATCTCTATCTGTCTTGGTTGTGTCCATTCAAATGTTACTCCTCCCTGATGTCCAGCGGTGAATCCATCAGACTTCCTTGAGCTAAAGGATTCTATTCATCAGTGTTTTTTGTGTCCTGGTCCCCACCCCCACCCCATGGCTTACTTGGGCTTGAACTGAAGAAAGGGTGAGCAAGATGAGCTTCAGGTGACTTTTGCTCACCTGGAATCAAGTTTCCTCTCTGGCTCCTCCCTCCAGGTCCACTGTGGCCAGCTGAGCCTCTCCCTCAATGTCAACAATAGGCCCAGCTGGTGCCAGGGACCACTGGAGGAGGGCAATGAGGGCTGCCACTTGGAGATTTCTAGGTCCAGCCACCAGACCTTTGCTCCCACACTCTGAGGTTCACCTTGGAAAATGGAAAAGAAGAATGGCCAACAATGACAGAGCTGCCCCAGTGACAGGTCCTGTGCTAGCTACTGGATCTGGGCAACCTGATCAGACCTTAAGACCCTTCACAGTGAAGGCCACTATTAGTGCCACTTCTGATGATGAGTAAACTGAGTCTCAAATCCACTTGCCCAAGGAGACACAGCTAGTAAATGGCAGAAGTGAGATTCAAACCAAGGTCTGCCAGGCTCCAAAGTCCATGTTTTACATCAGGAGTTCTCAGTCTCAGTGCTGCTAACCTTTGGGTTGGATCATTCTTTGCTGTGGGGGCTGTTCTCTGCACTGGAGGATGTTTAGCAGCATCCCTGACCTCTACCCACTAAAAATGTCTCCAAAAAAGGGAACCCTCCTACACTGTTGGTGGAAATGTAAATTGGTGCAGCTACTATGGAAAACAGTATGGAGGTTTCTAAAAAAAAAAAAAAAAACTAACTAAAAATGAAATAAAGTTGCTATATGACCAAGCAATCCCACTCCTGGGCATATACCCAGATAAAACTATAATGTGAAAAGACACACGCACCCCTATGTTCAGAGCAGTACTATTCATAATAGCCAAGAAATGGAAAAAACCTAAATGTCCATCAACAGATGAATGGACAAAGAAGATGTGGTACTTATGGAATATCGTTTCTGCTTAGTTGCTAAGTCGTGTCCAACTCTTTTGTGACCCCAAGGACTGTAGCCAGCCCAGCTCTTCTGTCCATGGGATTTCCCAGGCAAGAATACTGGAGTGGGTTACCATTTCCTTCTCCAGGGAAACTTCCTGACCCAGGGATCGAACCCATGTGTCTTGCACTGGCAGGCAGGTTCTTTACCACTGAGCCACCAGGGAAACCCACCTATGGGATACTACTCAGCCATAAAAAAAGTATGAAATAATACCACTGCAGCAACATGGAGACGGACCTAGAGATTATCATACTAAGTGAAGTAAGTCAGAAAGAGAAAAACAAATACCATATGATACCCCTTACACAAGGAAATCTAAAATATGGCAAAAATGAACCTATCTACAAAAGAGAAACAGACTCACAGACATAGAGAACAGATTTGTGGTTGCTGAGGAAGAAGGGGGATGAGGGAAGGATGGATCGGGAGTTTGGGATTAGCAGGTGCAAAGTATTATATACAGGATGGATAAACAGCAAGGTATATAGCACAGGGAATTATATTTGATGTCCTTGATAAACCATGATGGAAAAGAATATGAAAAAGAATATAACATACATGTGTGTGTATATATATATATATACAGCTTATATATATATAAGCTGTAGGGCAGAATTAACACAACATTATAAATCAACTATCCTTCAATAAAATAACATCTTAAAAAAATGTCTCCAGACACAGTCAAATGACCCCTAGGGGGCAAAACCACCCTTTGTTGAGAACCACTACTTTAGAGCAGGGTTAGTGTTTCAGGAACAAGGATTTACAAAGTAGACATCAGGAAGCACATTCCTTGCCCTCAAGATAATGCAGACTCAGGAACTCAGGGGCTGCAAGCATACACTGGCCTCAGCCAACCTTTCCCCCTGGAGACTCCAAGGGAAGGCAAGATGTCTTCAGAGAAGGTGGAAGGGCTGAGGCTGTGCCGGTCACACTGTGGTCAAGGCAGAGATGGGATGCAAGTGGGCTACCGTCTACACCCTGGGATCTAGGACCCAGGGAATCCAGGCCAAGCCGGGCTGGAGTGGCTCTGCATGTTGGAGTTGCCCTCTGGTGCCACACTGGATGGGCAAGGGCATGGTCCAGATGAGCTTGCTTCTATGCCCCCATAACCTGACTGGTACTGACTTTAGTAGGGCCTGCTGAGGCTTGGGAGCAAGCCTGGGCTGTGTCACATGCTAACTGTATGACTCTGACAGGTGACCACACCTCTCTGATCCTGAGGTCTCACCTGTGAAATGGGCTGATGACAAACCACCACTTTGTGGGCTAAGTGTTGTGTGAGATGATGTGCGTGGAGCCTCAGCCAGGGTGGACACCTGGTGAGGCTCAGCTCGCCTTGGCCACAGCACAGGTAAGGTCACTTTGCCGAGTCACAGGCTGTCAGGCTTGGAAGAGTCCTCGATACCCTCTCATGACATGGGGCATAAATCCCCAAGAACGGCTGGGTCCACAGCAGCCACCCAGAAGTGGTACTTTCCCTTGTTCCCTCTCTAGGTTTGCAGCCAAGGAAACGGGCCCATCAGAGGCAGCACTGAGCAGCCAGCCACCAGCATCCACCCTGTCCCCCTGAAGGCTCCCGGGGTTAGTCCAGAGGAAGGGCAGCCTGACCCCTGCAACCACTACGCCACGGAGGCCACAAACCCTGGAGGCCCTCAGACCCCTCCACAGAAAGTCCAGGACTCAGCCAAGCAACCTGGAAAGGACCTGGACATCCGTCAATCTCTGGGGGCGGACTGTCCACCTGAGCTGGCAGGAAGGGGTCCCTCACTTGAGCCCTGCCAAGAGACGGTCCTTGATCTAGCCTCTCTGCCTCTGCTCCCTCTCTGCCCTCTCTGTTTCTGCTTCTCTGTGTCACCACCCCTCTCCCTGAGGCTTTGGCTGCCAGCACCACCCCCATCACACCCAGAGCACTAGTCTGGCCAAGGGAGAGAGGGGCTCATGTTTCAGGGTTAAGGAGGCCAGGCCAGCAGAGATGGTGCTCCTGCAACTCCTAGGGATGGCAGAACCCGGACAGATCCTGCTGGCTCTAGTCCAAGTGAGAAGGGCACTTGGAACATAGTCCAACATGTAGCAGTGCCTCTGGTCACCGAGATGATCGTGGGCCCGGATTTCTGCCTCAGACACTGGGTAGTAAGGGCAGAGGCCTTGGGGGTAGCACCAAATGGCAGGGAGTGCCAGATTAGGGGCCTGGAGGGGCCAAGTTTACACCCTGACTCCACCCTGGCCCTATGTCTTAACTGTGCCTCAGCTTTCTCAACTGTGGAATGGGCAAGATAACAGTAATACTGGCCTGGTGGGTGGCTGAGAAGATGGACAAGATCAAGCTTGCCGGGTACTCTGGGAGCAGAGCTCAATCCATACTGGTGTTAACCGGGAAAGAGTTAGTGAGGCCAGCTAATGGTCCACAAGTTCTGTCCTCAATACATCTGTGTTTGGGTGGAACTCGTAGACAAGGTGAAGGTGCTTTCTGGGAGTTCAGGGCTCAGGGCTTTGCTGGGGTCCTTACAGGGTAAGCAGCCCCTGGGCTACCCCGGTCCTGCTCTGACCACCGCACAGCCGCTGATCTTCTGGGTCTGCTCTTCCGCCCCCTCCACCCCTCTGCCCACCAAAGGGGCGTGGGTGGGTGTTGATGTTGTCAGGGGCAGTCACAGAGTAACAGATATTCCCTGGCAAGGAGACCCAGAGGAACTCCCGGCTTTCCAGCACCACCCTTACCTCTCCCATCACCCGCACACAGCAGTACCCTCGGCCGCTAAGATCTGCCAGGTCTCACTCTAGGCTCTGACACTGGACGAGTCGGGGGTGGTAGGGGGGTCCGTCACCCACAGGGCGTGAAGGGCCGCGGGCTTCATCAGCTCCCTGACTTGCTCACCTGCCTCAGTCTCCCTCCGCAGCGGGCAGCTCACCAAGCCCGGTGTGGCGGGTGGGAAACAGGGACTG